CACACATGTGCTGAGTGTTAGGGCTGACGTGTTACTGGCAGTGATACATCCCTATCCCCACATCCACTGCTCTATCCTGTTTGGTATAGAAAATGAGTTAATCCGAATTGGGCCACCTGGAGCCCAGGACAGGTACCCAGGTGTGCCAGTGAGTGTGCACAAGGCTGGCTCTTTCAAGTATATGAATGTTATGGATACCAATGTGGATTTACATGACAGAGAAGCTTCCTCATTGCTTTAGGTTTCTACAGGGACACGCAGTGTCTCTTCTGCTACCATCACACATATTTTCGTATAACATGCCTACCTCATGAATGCTACACCCTTCCCCTCCCCAGCTATGGTGCTCTTGTGCTATACTGGATTCAATTTATATAGAATTCTACAGCATTCTATTACATATTTGAAATAATACAATATTTCTATATAAGCACTTTAATGTCTAAAATAAAATCTTGGCTTTTTTCACTCAGAGTTTCCACATTTTACTTAAATTAATCCTTGTACTTTTTTTTTACACTTCTGGTTTTCTAAATGGAATGTAACTGAATAGATTCAGACCACATATTATAAAGTAGAAAAGCAGGTATTAGTTATCTGTCCTCAAATAGGTTAGAAATATATAGTCCCCTGAGTTTTTGAACAGAAAGCAATATGTGCTCCTTTTAAGGCTGAGTTTTTTCAGGACTTGCTAATATGAGCTAGGAGGTAGGAGAAGCCTTCTTATGTTCTCAGTGCCCCAGAGGTTCAGTCAGGGGTGAGTTCAAAATTCCTAAAGACCTCAAGCTTCCACAAAAATACAAACCCCAAGATAAGGTTAATCTTCTACTTAGTGTTAGCCTGGATTGGAAAGACTAATCAAATGAGCTTTCATCTAAGAATTGTCTTCTAATGACATAAATTCATATTAAAATATAGTTTCGCCATGAATTTGTGTAGTCTTTCATTTTTAAATTTCGCATTGTGGAGCATTTCAAACATATACAAATTTAGGGAGAATAAGATAATGAAACTTAACACACCATTACCCAGTTTTAGCAGTTATTAATATTTTGTCAATCATGTTTTATCTAAAGCTTCCCCCCTTTTTCTTTGCACCATAGTATTTTAAAGTAAATTTCAGACATCATGTCAATTCTCCTGTAAATGTTTCAGCACTTATCTCTAACTTATAGGGTCTTTTTAACATGACCACCATGCCATAATATACCTATAAAATTAATAACAATTTCTAAATATCATCCAATAGTCTCCTATGTTTAAATTTCCCTGATTGCCTCCAAAATATCTTTTTATAGATTGTTCAAATTAGAATCCATATGAGGTTCATGCATTGTATTTAGCTGTTTATATCTCTTGTGTCTCTTTTTTTCTACATAATTATTTTAGGTTTGCTTATAATTTATCAAGGGAGTTTAAAGGAAGAATTGCTACCAAAATTAATGCCTTAGGTTCTATCTTTAAATCATTAATTTGTACATTATTTACATTTTCAAGTTCATACATACTTAATGCTGAAAGGTGAAGGTCTAGAAAAATAAGCAGACAAAATGTTTCTTTTGTGATTCAAAAACAATAATGAATTGATTTTATTACTCAAGGGAAGAAATCAAACACAGAGATTTGGCCCACACCCTATTTAAGTTCAAGTATGCCTATATTATATCGCATTTTTAAGCTACATTATAGTTTGACCTAACCAAAATATCACTTTAACTATGAACACAAAATTTGTAAATGAGACCTTTCCTTCTGGGATTGTGTCTTTTTTGTCTTTCAGATTTTGGGTGTGTGTTTCATTATAATAAATTCAAACTAAAACAATGTTTTCTTACCAAACATGAGTGAGCAAGTGTATCTCCTCTACCATTACTAATTGACATACCTGAATTTTGCTTGTCCATTTGATTGTATTCCCATGGCGTTCAATCTGATATCTCAAAAGTGTTGTTCTTTGTAAACATAGTTTAATCATATATTTGCTTCTTTTTTAATACTTGTTTTGCCATTCTACCAGGTTGTACATTATTTTCCTTCAACATGGGTAGGAGGACAGAAAAGAATTTCTACTGCCACTATAATTTTAACACTACCATCCTTGATTTAAGTAGCACAGTGCAGCTAAAATGCCTCAAAATTTTACCATTTCTTTTTATAAACTCTCAATCTTGTGATATCTTTCCTTTCTTAGGACATGAACGAGTCTGCCAAACAAGAAGATATTTTGGAATCCACAACAGATGCTGCAGAATGGAGTCTGGAAGTGGAACGTGTACTACCACAACTGAAAGTCACGATTAGGACTGACAATAAGGTATTGAAGAGAGAACACATTTTATTCAAAAACATTTTTAAAAGTCAATTTTAGGGTCAGGGGTACTCCCAATTATACAAATGATTTAAGAGGGGCAGTATGTTTCAGTTTCCAGTGTTTTGTCATAATAGGGATTTACCAAATTGTTGTTGAATAAATAAATAATGTAATATGGTCCAACAAGCAAAGAAGAGATCTTTGAAAGAATGATTTGGGTCACATCTTACTTCCCTGGGATCAAGGAGTATTTTCTAAATGCATTTCAGTGTATGTTCTTAGAAATCATATTTTGTTTAGGTGAATAGGAACTTTATGAATATACCAATGGATTAGAATTAGAATATGGCTTAGAACTCTGCTGGAGGGCAAAACAGAAGGCAGCCTGGAAGCTGCCTTGTGTAATCCAGCACACACTCATAGGATTAAAAATTAAATATTAAGAAAAATAATCAATAAGTCACATGTAATAAGATTTAGGGATTAGACCAGATGAACTGGACCATTGTATCAAATTTCTGCTTCCTTTTTACCTACTATTTTATAAGTACAAGCTAATAAGTGACTAGACAAAACTATTCTCATTAGTGGTGTAATAATCTCTACACAATGGGCTACGGACAGATAGGTAAAGAAACTAAAGGAGGATTTTCATCCTTGGAAGCTGGATATAAGCCCCCAGTATTAAGAAACAAGGTTCTAGGGAAGCTTCTTACTCTGAAAGTGTGGTTCTGCGTCCGCCCCTAAGTAGAAGCCCTACAAAGATTGCAGTTTTCAGAGTGCCTTAGAAGCTAATTCATTCTCAGAATGTCTGGATTTGAGTTTGTAAAACTGTATCCCAGAACAGATAAGAAGCTGCCTGTAGATTCCTAGGGCAGTCCCAGAATAGAATAAGGACAACAGAGGTCTTTCTACTCTGTGAACAGCTGTGGAACAAACACTATCCAAGGTAAATGGACAAACCTGCAGGCTGTTACTATATATTTACCCAATCATTGTTTGACTACATTGGAGTTGAATTCTTTGCATATCTCTTATATGTAAATATGTGAGTATATTAATAAGAATTTCTTCTTCACATATTAGATCTGTACTGGAAGTCTTAATTTTCAAAAATATGATTTTTTTCCCCTAAAATGTAATTTCTGATTCCTTGGTTTTGTCAGAACAAATTTCTTTTCATAAGATTAAAAATCATTATTATTGTGATTCTAGTTAGAATAACATGTTAAAATAATTGTGCAGTTAGGAACTCTCAAGTACAGCTTAATCCCATAAGGAAGCTAGTTTAATTTGTTTACTTTCAAGCTAAGTAAATTCTTCAAGTCAAACATCTCATTTAGAACCTAATAAGGTGTTTTTTTTAAAAAAAGCAGTCATTGATTTCCACATAATAGAAGTAACTTAAAAGAAAGAAAGAATATAAATGTAAACGCTAACACGTACTGTTCTACACACCTAAGCACAGGTCAAATTCTGTAATGGACCAATATTATAATCATCAAAATCCTGGTTTCTTGGAGAATTAGTGTTCTACTGATTTGAGGAAGAATTAACTACTTGAAAGTTGAACTCTTACCATAATGCTATACTGTTAGCCTTAATCTTATGAGGATATACTGTGCCAAATTAATTATATAATAAAGTTTTATAGGCAGCATTCAAAAATATCAGATAAAGGTTTTTTTCAGTATTTTTTAGAATATGTGGATATCATTTTGAATTTAGATTTTGATTACTTTTTCAGAATTCTTCTGTAGATCATTTGGTCTTTGTATCCAGTATTTCACAAACTCTTCTTTTCTTCTAAGTCTTTTAGATATGGCAAATGGGAAATTCAGCTTGGAGGTCAATTCTTTATTCAGCATACTTAAGAAAAATAAAGTACATTGGTTTCAGAAAATGAGACTAATGAACAGAGAAATGTTTCTCATGTCTCAGGAATAAAAATAAAATAATCTGCTTACATATAAGGTCTCTTCTGACAGTCATTATCCTCTTCCATCAGAAGTTGACTTTAGCATCATGGTAGGTACCATTCTTCCTTGACTACCGACTCTACCAAAACTTCTTTACTTTTGGCCAAATAATTAACCTTTTACTCAACACAGGCTAGTTAGGACATTTAAAGATCTCAATTTTGTGTTTAAGGAGAAAAATAGAAATTAACTATTTGGGGATCAATGTGTTTTACTGGTCACCTTTGAATTAACTTTTAAGTAGCTTAGAGATGTGGAACATAAGCAATAAAGGGCTTCCATTATTTGAATCAATTATAAATTTCCTTAAAATACCCTTGCATTAGTAATAAATAAGACCCATTTTTATTTGGCACTGGGTCAAATATTTATTTTGCTTTTTTCTCTCACAAGTTCAGTTTATTCTTTCTATGATTCCTAGCAGGGAATGACAAAAAAGTAAACCTCCTTTTCTGTTCTTTTTATATACTATAGTATATATGCTTTGATGAGTCCTATCATATACCAGTATTTTATTTTGTATTCTTTCCATGATGTTGCAATCAGATTTTTATTGCTAAACTAGCTTATCCCTGTTATCTGCCAGTACTTGCTACTGTTGCCAGTTCTCAAAGAATGCAAACTAATTTTAATATTAGCTTAAACAAAATAGAATTAGGAAAATAAACAGGTTGCCAAAAATGCAAATAGTATGCTCCACAACTGAAGATAAAGGATTTTTGTTATATGCTGAGTTGAATGAAAGATATTAGTAGTTCCCTTTTTAGCACTATTTATAGTGAATACTCCTGGTGATTGCTTCTAGGGTAGGTATATACCCAGAGACCATCTCAGATCTGCCCCGAATTGGAATAATGTGTCTAAAGACAGTCAGAATTTCTGCCAAGAGAGTCAATAAATTCAGTCAAATTCTAGGTCATGCCACTCTTGTAATGCCTCAGCTGTGACCAAATAGGTAAGGCTCAGGCGTCAATTCCTTAGAAAAGCAGTCTGAGGATACCTACACTAGAGTTGGTGCCATCTAAAAGTGTTGTTGGTACACTATGATTGTACATATTGTGTCCTACTCCACTTATTTTTTTTTCCCTCTATTTCTCATACCGTTTTTTTCTCTGATTTTTATCTCTCTTTTTTATTGTTCTTTATTAGACACAACAGTGGTGCCCACAAGTGTTACACAATTGCTCTGGTAGAATTTAAGCTAAGTTAGATCAAACAACATCTGTGATTTTACTCAGACTAGACTTTGATCTGTAACTAATTAAAAATTATCCTAACCACTGAGTCTTTTTAAAATACAATTTTATTTTTAATTATAAAAATAATATTGAAATAATGTTTCAAGGAGGAAGGGGGCAGACAGTGTGCTGTGAATTAGAAGCTAGAGATCACACATTTAGTTCTACTGTCACTTCCTGATTTATTGAGCTAAAGTTTCAGAAACTTAGTGAAACTGTGGTAGCCACGAAGACCCAGAGAAGATGGAGCCTGTCTCACACACCTCCCCAAGGCTTCCAGAGTTTATCTTTATACCACTGTTAACTCTGTGACCTAGGGTAACTATTTTGCCTTTCTGTTTTTCCTATTCCTTACCTGTAAAATGGAACTAATTATATTGTCTCACAGAATTGTAAAGTACCAAAAAACAGTGTCTGACACATAGTTAATGCCTAATACATGTTAATTATTATCTCACATTATTATTATTGTGTTCTAACATAGTCCTTTTATATTTGGTGCCTATATCTGTGTAAGGAAGAATTTACAAAATTTCTGCACTAATGCCTTTCATCATTTAAAGAATGTTCATAAAATCAGCCTAATATCCTTACATGAGATTATAATCAGATTCATATAACTATCACTTTGATGAATCTTTCTAGTTTCTTCTCTACTAAATGTATATATAATATGATAATACCTTACATTTACTAACTGTTTGCCATGTGCCAAGCACTGTTCTTAGCACCTCACATGTATTAACTCATTTAATTCTTTCTACCATCCTGTGAGATATAGGTATCTCTTCCCACAAATGAGGAACCTGAAACACAGAGAAGTAACTTGCTTCTGTCTTGCCTTTGTAAGTGACAGATACGGTATTTGAACTGACAACCTAGGCTTTTAGCAATTGTATTAGAGACAATATAGCATACCGGTTAAAAGCACAAATTCCAAACCCAGGTTGCTTGAGTACATATCCTGGCTGTAACACTTATTAGTTATATGACCCTGTGGGCAAGTTACTCTGTGCCTCAGTTTCCACATCTGTAAAATAGATTGTATTACAGTACCTCCCTCAAAGTGTTCTTAAAGGATTAAATGAATTAACATATCTAAAGCACTTAGAATGGTGCCAGAAGAATCACTTGCTATGTGTTGGCCACTATTTCTGTGTGCTTTTATTTATATAATTGAGATTATACCTTTTTAAAAAAATATAACACTACATCTTAAGCATTTCCACACATCATTATAATTTATAAACCATAACTTTAATGGCAGTCTATAATGTTTGAAGGTTACCATCAATCCCCAGCTGAATGCCAGGTAGCAGAGATGGCTTGGCCAAGCTCAGCAGGTTCGGATCAAACCAGGAGCTCTAGATTCTGGGTGGAGAAATGGCAGAACGAAGTCATATGAGAGCTGGAGGCTCGAATATGGGTAAGCATAAGTAAGGACCATAAGGTCTGAGAGCACAGACCAATAGCAAGAAGTGGATCGTGCCAATGAGTCATTTTAGAGAAACAAGAGGGATCTGAAGGTGGAAGTTCAGTTGAAAGGCAAAACACAGAGAGCAGGAAGCAGAAATGAAGATTAAATTAGAAAATAGATTTAGAAATCTTTGGTAATTATTCATTACTGCAACAGTGTACAGTTAGTCCAACCTATAGGTTGGAGCTGCTGTTATCTTTTTTCAGCTTGTACGAGAGACTCTCTTCCAGGGTCCTTTATCGTCATTATTGAAGGATAACGTTTTCCTATGTGATTGAAAAATTTTTAATTCCATAATAGCAATACATA